TTATGTGGATAAGAGACGAAGTTCTCCAGTCCCTTTCACACTTCAGAGCAGTTTCTTTGCCCGGTGCCTTGATTTCTTTCCTACTCAGGGCAGGCGAACCTCCACTAGATCTCCTCTGCCCTGTGTTCTGGAGCCTGGACACTTAGGGAGAGCCTGGCACAGGCCCACAGCCCTGAGCAGGGGCCAGAAGTTGAGTCTAAGCTGTGAACCTTGGACTCAGCCACACAGAGAGGAATAGCTCGTTCCACACACCAAATCCTAGCTGGGAGGGGAGATGGGGCTGGAGAGCTTCCAAGTTTGCCTGCAAGGCTTCGGGAATGTTCCATTTGTTCCAGCAAGGAAATTGTAACTGGAATGCAGTACAATCCGGTGTGCTGGAAAACACTCCAACTCCTGTTGGCTTCCAAATGCCTTTCTCAGGACTATAAAGCTCTTGGGAATTTTTAGAAACTTTAAAAAATCATTGTTATTTTCGCCTTGAGTACGATAAAATCCTGATTTTTAGTCCACGTTTTTATTTTTAGATTAGCACCTGACTAAATATAATAATGCTAATTTAATACTCTATGTAATAACATTCATAAGAAACAGATGCCAATTTCCCCATTTAACAAATGATGCAAGGTGTTAAATTGATTTAAAAATAACTGTCTAAAAATGATTTGTCGATGAATAAATTTTGAAATAACATATTGTGTTATCTTGGGGAGCCATAGGAATATTAAGACAGATTGAGATTTCACTACATGTTGAGTAATGGCATCGAAAATAGACATAAACTATTTTCATTACCTACTACTAGAATTCTCGAGATTTCCCCCGAGTTATTTTGATACATTTTAGTGTTTTGTTTCTAAATGGCAAGAAAAGAGGAGGTTTTAGGTTGCTATTAGCAAGCATGTCTCAGGAAATAAAGTCCAAGGACAGGGAGGCATTTTCATCAAAAGAAGAGTCAAATTAGATAAATTGACACTATTGATTTTTAACATTAATTTTCAAGGTACTAGAGAATCTTCGTTGCTGTGGAAGAATTTTAGTCAAATAATAATAACAAGGAGCTGAATAAAGAGCATCCTTAGGCTAATTTGCAGAATTATCCTCATTTATGTGCTATCATTAACTTAATGCATATTAACACTAATGTTCCATAAATACTTTCTATTTAAACAGTTCTTCATTTTGAAATTAAATAAATGCTATATGACCACGTATAAAACAAATTACAAATTTCTTGTCAATGTGTGGGACTTGATTAGATCCTCAGTCAAAGAAATGAATCTGCAAAAATCACTTGTTGGGAGTAGCTAGGGAAATTTGAATATGGACTAGATATTAGATGATATTAAGGAATTACTGTTAATTTTGTTGGGAGTGATAGTATTGCCCTGGAGTTACACAGAAAACTTCCTTTGCAGTGCATACTGAAGGGTTCAGGGGTGAGATGTCATGCTGTCTGGGATTTATGTTAAAATACCTCACCAAAAAATAGATTAAAGTAAATCTGGCAAAATGTTAATAACTACTAAGCCTTGATAGGCATATGGAGGGTTCTTACACTTTTCACAGTACTTCTCTGTTTTAAAATTTAAATTTGATGGGGCACTGGGTGGCTCAGTCAGTTAAGTGGCTGCCTTCAGCTCAGCGCATGATCTCAGAGTCCTGGCATCAAGCCCCACATTGGGCTCCCTGCTCAGCAGGCAATTGGCTTCTCCCTCTCCTCTGCCTCTCCCCATCTCATTCTGTCTCATTCTGTCTATTAAACAAATAAAATATTTTAAAAATAAAATTTAAATTTTATTATGAATTTTAAAAATCTAAAATTTTCATAATAACGAGATTTAAGGAAAAATTCCACAAAGTAAAATGAAATGTAACCAGTATTCCTACCCCCACTGGCTCTCTCTAGTGGCTGGTGGCGTTAAACCGAGGGGAGATGGACAGCCCCGCTCAGCCCTCACAAGGCACTACCCACCCCTCCACCTGCAGCCAGCCGCTACCATACACTCCAGCTCTCCAACGGTTTCATTCTTTTCTTTGTTCTTTTTGGAATTTTACAGAAGGAAATTGAGGCTGACATTATTACTTCTCTAATGACTTGAATCCATCCAGAGGAGCAACTTATCATAGGTTGGAGGGCCACCAGTTGGAAATCACTGCAGTAAGACAACCTGTGTCTGAGCCTGGTGGGTTCTGTCTGTCTTGACTGAGGTGGACAGGGAAGGCTTTCATGGATGGCCTGTGACTTCAACTTAGAAAAGAACATCTGTTGAAAGTCTCAGATCTTCCTTTTCTTTGGGGAGGGTAGATTCATGTAGGGTGGTGGGGAAGGAGGAAAACAATAGATACTCTCTTTTTTAAAAATTTTTTCAACTTAATTAACATATAATATATTATCAGTTTCAGAGGTACATGCCTGTGATTCCTCAGTCTTACATGGTACCCAGTGCTCATTACATCACACGTCCTCTTTAATGTCCATCACCCAGTTACCCCATCTCCCCGCCTCCCTCTCTCCCAGTAACCCTCAGTTTATTTCCTATGATTAAGAGTCTCTTATGGTTTGTTTCCCTCTCTGGTTTCATCCTGTTTTATTTTTTCCTTTCCTCCCCTATGATCCTGTTTTGCTTCTTAGATTCCACGTATCAGTGAGATCGTATGATAATTGCCTTTCTCTGATTGACTCATTTCACTTAGCATAATACCCTCTAGTTCCATCCATGTCATTGTAAATGGCAAAATTTCTTTTTTTTTTGATGGCTGAGTAATAGTCCATTGTATATATATACCACATATTCTTTATCCATTCATCTGTCGATGGACATCTGGGCTCTTTCCGTAGTTTGGCTTTTGTGGACATTGTTGCTATAAACATTTGGGTGCCCGTGCCCATTCAGATCACTGTATTTGTATCTTTAGGGTAAATACCTAGTAGTGCAATTGCTGGGTTGTAGGGTAGCTCTATTTTCAACTTTTTTTTTTTTTAAGATTTTATTTATTTATGACTGGAAGAGTGAGAGAACACAAGCAGAGAGGGAGAAGCAGGCTTCTCCTGTTCTCCATCAGGAGAACCCCAATGTGGGGCTCGATTCCAGGACCCTGGGATCATGACCTGAGCCAAAGGCAGATGCTTAACCATCTGACCCACCCAGGGGCCCCTAGTTTCAACTTCTTGAGGAACCTCCACACTGTTTTCCAGAGTGGCTGCACCAGCTTGCATTCCCACCAACAGTGTAGGAGGGTTCCCCTTTCTCTGCATCCTCACCAGCATCTGTCATTTCCTGACTGGTTAATTTTAGCCCTTCTGACTGGTATGACGTGGTATCTCATTGTGATTTTGATTTGTATTTCCCTGATGCCGAGTGATGTTGAGCACTTTTTCTTCTGTCTGTTGGCCATTTGTAAGTCTTCTTTGGAGAAATGTCTGTTCATGTCTTCTGCCCATTTCTTGAGTAGTTATTCTCTTAGTTGACCTCCTCTGAATAGCCCATACCCCGCAACTAGGTTGACCCTGACATTCCATTCCCTCAGAAAAAAACAGATGACTTCCGACCAGGATACCCAGAAAGCTCACAGCTGGTAGATCATATTCTAACTCTCCCCAGCACTGTTGCCCCTGCCAAGTGATCTGTCTGCTTACCCAGGGTCCCTTCTGCTCGTTCCAGACTTGTTTATGCTGGTTGTTCTTATTGGTATGACTGACTAAAGGACAGATGAGCCAATAAAACGTAAGTGTAGGATCCTCATCAGACAATCCATGTCACAAAAGAGTGAACACAGCTTGGTAATTAAATGAACTTTTTCTTATGTCTTAACATAGAATATGTAAGAAGCGTAAGGTGCACATTTTCATTTAAGTGCTTTTCAATGGCCACCAGGTATGTAATGAGACAACTCCTTCATCTCGACTGTATATAAGAGGTTTTCCATCATCTTAGGATTTTCTGTCCAGACTTGAATGAAAATAATCCCAAACCAGATCACTTAAAAACCATTTTTTTTCTACTGAGCCTGGTCAGGGAGTATATGGATTTTGTCCCCACGGACTTATCTCCTGGTATTTTATTTAGACTAATTAGTAAGATCCACTTGCATATTCTGAGCATGCACTGGTAGCTGGGGACAGAAACTTTCCTCACCCATCCCCCCACACCCCACTTCAGCCCAGGGAAGCTGCCTGACCTTCCATACATTGGAGTACCACATGTCCCGTATCCAGCTCTAACCATATTAGAAAAGGAAGGACAGTGAACCCTGTAGGGCGGCTCTTCTAGAACATTTCTCTTGGTTCTTTGAGACCAGTTAGGGGTTTTGGGATCACTTTCCTTCATATGATCGGTTAGAGAAGGGACCCTGGAATCCGTGCCCTGGGCTCTCCAGAGCAGTGAGGAGGAAGCCTGAAGCTTCAGCTCTGGGAGGAGCTACCAGGTATTGGCCACATCCTGAATGATGCTTCTCTTGGGGTGGGGCAAGGGCATCTTACCTCTGATCCCAGCTGCCTTAGACCTCCATGCCAATTCCAAGGTCAGAGAGGTGTCAGACCACTGGCAGGTGGAGACAGCCCTTGGAGCTGTCCCATCACAGCCCAGGACTCGGGCAGAGACTATACCTACGGGAACAACCTCACGGCCCCTGGGGGAATCTGGCTGCAATTTAAGGTAAAAGAATCTTGCCCTCTCTGAGCTTCAGTTTGTTCATTTCACTATCGGAGGAGAGTGACCTATTGGCTTTTGTGGTCCCTTTCAGCCCTGCCTGTCCCAGAGGCAAGGACCTAGGAGCCACGGTGAGACCAGCCACCAGCAGAGAATGCACACTACCCAACCAGCGCCCCTTACTCAGGGTGAAGGGGTGAAGAGGATATCCCTGACTTGGGGGTGAGAACCCAGGTCTTGGCAAACTCTTCCCCTCCCCAGGGGTAGATCTTGTCTGCCAAGATCCTGAATCTCTGCGAGGCAGGGGAGGGGCTGCTCCCACTGATTTGTGGGAGGCGCAGGGCGGGGCTCGGGGCTGATGGGGGAGTGCTGCCTGACGGGTTCCTTCATTTTACCGGAATGTCCTGGGAAGGAAACACCTCTTGGGACCCTTGTCAGGGGAAGGGGGGAGGTTCCAGGACGCGGGACCAGTCACCGGCCTATCATGCCCTACCGCTGGTGGCTCCACTCCTGGGCTGGGGAGGGAACGGCTCAGTCCTCTTTGGGCGCCCGGAACTCCGGCATGCTCCAGGTCCGGAGCGGCGGCGGCGTGTCCCGCTCCACGTCCTCGGAGATGGTCCGGATATCACTGGTGAAGGGGGAGATGCGCGCTCGGGTCTTGAAGGTGGCCAGCGCCAGGGGGCCGCGGGGCCGCAGGCTCCACTGCCGAGTCAGCTTGTGGGCCTCCTCCTCCTGCTTCATTCTCTCCAGGACCTCCTGCAGCACCGAGCGGAAGAGCTGGGACACCTCCCGCACCTCGGGCTCCTGCTCTGCCAGCAGCTGCCGGAACCTGCGGGTGTGGGGCCGGGCAGGTGTCAAACCACCCTGGCTTCCCTGTGCACGCCCAGGGGTCAGTTCCCTTTCCGCCAGCTCCCCAGTTCTGACGTCAATCAGAAACCACCGCACCTCCCCACCGCTCTGGCCAGTGCTGAGTTCAAATCCGCCCCCTCAGCCACTTCCAGCCTCTGTGGGCCTCAGCTTCCTCATCTGTAAACTGGGGTCATAGCTACTGTTCTCTCTCTCTCTCTCTCTATCTCTGTGTGTGTGTGTATGTGTATGATATGTGTGTCTATGTCTACATGTATGTAAAGATCCTGACATTGACTCAGGTTATCAATGCCAGAGTAGTAAGGGGAGCCACTGCTACCATGGCCTGGCCTTACCTATGCGAGGCTTTCTGGCTAACCTCTGCCACCCTTCTCTCCCCAGTAGCCAGAGTGATCTCTTCAAAATGTCTATCTGATGGTGTCCCTGCCCTGCGATACTCCTTCCAAAGCTCCTGGCCACCGGCTGGCTGAGGTTTTCCTCTGCCTAAAACGTCTCTGCTCAAAATGACGGACAGTTATCAGCAAGCCCACTTAGTGGTTTCCTCCACCACACTGTGAGTCAGGACTTCTCACACTTTTCAGCGGTGGGACGGGAAAGCTGAGGGGGTGATCACGATCATACGTGTGTTCCCAGACTCCCCCTCATTTATGAAGTTTAGCTTATCCACCTGGCTTCTCTCACCAGCCCCATCCCCATGACTCACTCCCCCCATTTCCCCCATCCCCAGGTGCTTCTGGAAGTAGGTACATTTTGGGGGGATTCTGAAGTACAGAACAAGAGAATCTGGAGAGGATAAGATTCTCAGCCTGGAGGAAGATAGGGGGGAGGGGCAGGGCATGACAAAGAGTACAAAATCCAGTGGGCTATGGATAGGACTGGAAATAAAGAAGGAATTTAAGGAGAATTTCCAAGAAAAAGGGGGTACAATAGATGCTTACATTGGTTAAAGAGATGTGTGGCTGGAGATTTGGGGGATGTTCTGACGTTTTATTGTGGACCCGTATTTCTTTACTAGTGTTTGAGAACTGCACGTGAACCCGAGCAACTTTTGAAATTACTGTTGGTTGTTGGACTACATTTCTCCGACTTTAACACGAACCCAGCCAAGACTGGGCCCTGTGGGTCAAACTTTATTAAGGTTACATTTATATTCAGGACAACTGTGGTACCCAAGCTCTAAATCTGTACGTGTTCAATGCCCCAGGCCTTGGAACACTTCACACACACACACACACACACACACACAGTCCCCTGAGGCAAACTGTTATGAATGCTAGTGTGACAAAGGATAATTAAAAACTGAATTTTGGGAAAATTGTCTGCAAAACCTTTCTAAGAAGGTAATATGGACAATAAACTAATGGAGGAGAAAGAGCCAGCTGTGTTGAAATCCAGGGTAGTGATAATCCAGGAAGAACAGAAAGCTCAAAGGCCTGAGGTTCTCTCCCATGAAAAGTCCTGTGCCCCCCAAGAGCTTCCTCCTGCCTCCTTCTGAGCCCTTAGCTCCAGCCTGGTGTGCTCTGGGCTCTTGCAGATTGCTCCTTCTGCCTCACTGCTTTTAACAGATCCCTGGATCATGCAGCTGCCCCCGCTCCAGTCCTGCTGGCCTCGGGCCCCTCTCCCTGAGGCTGCACCCCCGGGCCCCGTGCCCGTGCAGGGGTTACCTGAGGATGGCGGGCCCACAGTAGGAAGGGTGGATCTTGGCACAGACATCCTCTAGTTGTAGCCGCTCGCCAGGGCTGAGGTCGTAGGTGGGCCGGGGGGCGCTGGCCAGCCAGCTGTAGTCGACCCCGGTGCAGATCTTCCTGACCGCCTGGCCGCGCTCCCACTGCTGCCTCTCCACCTCTCGCATCTGCCCCGCCAGCTCCATCATGAGCGTCTCCAGCACCATCTCCGCGGGCCTCCGGGAGGACAGCCTCGAGGGGGCTTCATTCCACCGCAGCCAGGGGATGAGGGACATGGCCCCCCCAGCCCCTGCCGAGACAGGGAAGGAGTGCGTCTTTCTTGGGCCCCTCTGTCAGTTAGGGTGGGGGAGAGCAAGGGGGAAGGAGGAGAGCTGGGACCCGAGAGAAGACCTGCTCCGCCGTCACAGCTGGGTGGCCTGGAGTAAGTTGCTTAACCTTTCTGAGCCATCATTTCTAATTCTGGAAGACAAGATTGGGCTGTCGTGAGAAGCAGTTGTGAATAAACTTGGGGCACTCTAAGCGCCACATGAAAGTATGATAGTCTCATGGTTATAATGATCCCTGATACATCCTGATGGCGGAGGCCAGGAAAGATGCCTCCGGAATCCCCATGAACTCCAAATAAAGAAGGAAATATACTGTGTATGGCTGAGCAAATCTTATCCCTGCAATTTAAGGGGGAAAAATACATGACTGCATCTTCTGTCAACCCAAAAGGAAAACACCCTGGGTTTCTTAATGCCCCAGTCTGCTGCTGAAGGAAGCTTGGAACTGTATGGGGTTGACCTCATCCTGCAAAGGACACAACTTACCTACTGTTCATTCATTCGTTCAGAAGCACTGATCAAGCATTGTGTGCACATCTGTGGAAGAACACACACAGGAAAGCATTATCAGGGACCTGATGCCCAGGAGATGTGAATGGAAAGAGGTAAATGGGAGTGGTGAAGCATACTGTGGGCATTGATGGGGAGGGGAAGGAGTGACTCTGGGGGTGAAGGGGGTCATGGAAGGCTTGTGGACAAGAGCAGGCTGAAGGGGGAATACTGGCTTCAGACACATGGACTGATGGAGAAGGTGTCCCAGGTGGAGACCCAGCCATGGTACAAGGAGAGACATGTGCAAGGAGCATCAGCTTCAGGAGCTTAACTCATCATATTTCCACAAGGTCTTGTACAACACAGCTTTTGTGAATGGCTGACTGGATGGGTGGATGGATGGATGGATGGTGGATGGATGGATGGTGGGTGGATGGGTGGATAGATGGATGGACGGATGGATGGTGGATGGATGGTGGATGGATGGATGGATGAATGATGCCTGTCAGAAATGGGTTTGTGCCTCTGATAGCAGTGAAGGTGGGGGCCATTCCTGGGCTAAAATCTAAAGTGGGTCTTTGAGATGCCCCAATTCCCCTGTCTATGCCTCCCCCCCCCAAGGAGCTCCCCATTCCTGCACCAATGGTCTTCCTGCCCAGACCCTCCAGATGCTGAGAAAAGTGACCGGATGAACTCAGTCTCAGCAACATAGCTGTGAAGCATGGAGACACATACATTTTTAGGCAGCCCTCCCACCACCCTGCAGAGAAATGAACTGTTAATGCTTGAGAATCAGACACAAATAGGAAAAGTATTATGGGGCAACAGTAGCCTCCTGGAGTGGCATCAACGAAACCACCTCTTTACCCATGAACCACCAATTCCCTTAGCAGCCATTATATTTAGGAAGTTTAAAACTTTCACCCTCCACTCAGCTAAGACTTTCACCAGCGGGGTCTCAAATTACACCCTGACTCCTTCTCCGGGAGGTTGGGAGGGAAGGACACAAACCATCAGATTCTGTTCTTGGGATCAGGACACTTAGAAGATTTACTTCTCCGCCCTTAACTGCTTCCTGTGTTCAGAATCATAAAGCTGGGCATAGTGTGGGGAAAGGGGTGAGGGATGGAGGTAGGCTGTGTTCTGTCCTGAGAGCTGAGCACCAGGAGCCTCTACCCAAGGCAAAGGGATCTGATTGAATCAGGCAATGGGACCCCTTGTAACTGAACATGCTATGCTCCCTGTAGTAGCAGGTGTTTGTGTTTTTACAAGTACATGGGTCAGGTTGATGCTTAACAGCAGAAGAGTGAGTGGTACAAGGTCAGGTGTTCATTCAACTGCATGGAAGGGTACTCCAAGTCTGGATGGGTTACCAGTCCCCACAGGGGCTGCTGGTGGTGCTGGGCCACTCACAGCCCCGTGCTCTCTCAGTGTCCCTCCCTCCCTCCCCTGCCTGGGGACTTACCACTAGACTCAGCTCCTCTCTGGAAGTGTTTCCTGACACCTTCCCTGACACACTTTTCCTAATGTGATCACTCTCCACTTGGTCCCCTGACTTCGCTCTGCACAGACATTTTTCACAGCCCCAGGAACACTTCATGGAGCGTGACCATCTGCCTCCCGGACTGTGTGTGTCCTACGTGGGCGAGGATCATGCCCTATTCATGCTTCCTTCCCTGGTGCTGGATGGTACTGCTGTCGTGCTCAATAAATGCCAAACGAATGAGTGAATGAACAAAGGAATGAATGATGAATGAATGCAGGCAGGCATGGTGGTGGGAGAGCCAGCAGCCCCACAGACCTGACCTCCCCCGAATGAGGGGGCATTTGTCAGCGGCCATGGGAGAGACAGTCTCCTCTGGACCCCATGGCTCCACACTCTCCTGTCAGGTGGAGACCCCTCCTCAGGAAGAGATATTGGCTGAGCTGTGTGGTCATGAGGACTGACCCTACTGGGGTGGTTCCCACTTCTCTGCCCCACTGAGCCTCACACTGGAAGCTTCCAAACTTGACCCAGGCCCTCCTTCCCCAGGAAGACATCTTTGGTTAACCTCCCTCAATCCTTCCATCCCAACATCCCCCCCCCCCATCACCAGGCCATACTGCACCTGCCCCTCAATGCTGGGCACCTGTCCCTGGAGTTTCACCAGCCTGGAAGATGAATGAATGGGGAAGAGACCAGTCGGACTCAGGGTGGAGGGATGTAATGCCTTGGAGTGAACGCCACCTGCCTCAGACCCCCTCCCCTCTCCAAACATCCTCCACTCCCTGCCACACCCCTTCCGACAGCACAGGTCCTAACTCACCTGAGGCTTCCCAAACCCAACCCCACTGACCCTTGCTTCCTGTGGAAAGAATCTTCCATTGGTTTCCATCAAGCCACAATCTTTGGTCCAGGTCCCACCCCGGTCTGCCTTGTACCTCAGTCTGCCTCCTGGGACTCGCTCTCAGACCCCGAATGGGCACCCCTCCCCGGCCTTCCTTGGGTTGTTGCTGTTCCTTGGGGCTCTGTCCAAGGCTGTCTTGTTTTAATAGGCCTCATCCTTTCACTCGTCTCTAATTACTTCCTCAATGTCCGTAGCTCCCAAATCAAAATCCGGAAGCCACTTGTCTCTTGAGCTCCAGGTGCGTGTGTCCAGATGCTTCCTGGACACCTCCCCTAGCAACTTCCACATCCTTCCCCTGTAGCTGCTGCTTCTCCCCAGCCCCGGCCTGGCAGTGGGCATAAGCTAGTTGCCCAGTCTAATGCATCATCCTTGTCTCTTCCTTTGCCCCACCAGTCAGATCTTACACCCAATTCCTGTTGATTCTTCCAAATTTAAGTATATCATTCTCCTAAATCTGTCCATTCTCTTCCTCCTTTAGTTTTGGTCTTGACCATCTGCCAGATGTATTATAGCTGCTTCTGACCAGCACCCCAGGGCTGGTGCTTCTGATCTAATCTCCACTCTATTTCCCTTTTATTGTGGGGTTTTTAAAAAAAGCAAATTAACATGAAATTTGCCATCTGAAAGATTTTTAAGAGTACAGTACAGTGGTGGTAACTATAAGCACGGTGTTATGTGATTATTAAGTGATCTCTGGCACTTTTTCCTCCTGCAAAATTGAAATTCCATACCCACTGAGCAGATTCCACTCAAAGATTTAGAAAACATGGTCTTTTTCTTTTCTTTTTAAGTAGGCTCCACACTGAGCCTGGAGCCCAATGTAGGGCTCACAACCCTGAGATCAAATCCCGAGCTGAGCCACCCTGAAAGGTGCCCTGAAACTGGAATTCTTCTTAATCATAAGGCTGATCATGTCACTATTTTGTTTTCATTAGATACTGTAACATAGAGCATGGGGTCTGTGAGCTGTGAGCCTGTCACCCCCATACCTCCTCCCCTGCAAATTTCACTGGCTTCAAAATATCAATAGAAATCTGAAAAATTGAAATGAAAAAATTAATAATAATTCCAAATGGGAGGTGTAAAACCCCTTTCAAATTTTTATTTAAAAGTAATCATAATGTGGATTCTTTTTATGATGATGTTTGATGTGATATGGGGTGGGACTTCCAATAGTCAAAGTGTCCGTGGCCTGTGTTTAAGCCCAGGGGTATTTAAAAGCTTTCGGTTGTTCCCAATGTCCTTAGACCCCTTAATATGGCTTCCGGGCCCTTTATCATGTGGCTCCTGTTCACATGGTCAGCTTCATGTCTCATCAAACTTCCCCTTTCCCCCGGCCCTACACACACACACACACACACACACACACACACCCAGAACGTACCCTGCTTTCTCTTGCTTTTAGGCCTTTGCGCATATCTAGAACATTCTTTTCTTTTCTTTTACTGAGGTATAATTGACATGTAACATTATAGTAGTTTCAGGTATACAACATAATGATTTGATATTCATATATATTGTGAGGTGATCACCCTAATAAGTCTAGTTAATAACTGTCCCGATCCATGGTTACAATTGCCTTCTCTGTGATGAGAATTTTTAAGGTCTACTCTCTTACCAATTTCCAAACATGCAATACAACGTTATTAACTACAGTCATCCCCAGGATTCATATATTTTATACCCAGAAGTTTGTACTTTTAGGCCCTCCTGCACCCAGTGCCGCCCCTCCCTCCCCCCGCTTTCCACCTGCTGTCTCTGGCAACCACCAGTCTTTATCTCTGAGCTCAGTGTTTTGTTTTAGATTCCACATATAAGTGAGATCATGTGGTATTTCTCTGTCTGATTTATTTCACTTAGCATAATGCCTTCAAGGCCCATCCCTGTTGTTGCTAATGGCTCGGCCATAGAGGATCCTCCTGTGGCAGGGGAATACAGAAGAAAGGAAAGGTGGGAGGCACTGAAGACAACTTTTATCTCCACACCAGACTGGTCTCCAAGTGTTGGCAGCAAAGCCACCCCAGGCCCGGTCAGGGCACCACACATTTGCTAGGGGATTAGGGCAGTGCCGTAAACGGAACCTCATATTCCATGTGTCTAAACATTTGTTTAAGTTACAAATTAGGTTAACAGACTATTCAATAAAATATGTTTTACTTTTCCTTCCTTGTCAACTGTACCTTCACAAAAACAATAACAAAATCAAATCAGGCTTGGATCCAAACTGAGAATTCTTGGACTCCCAGGAGAGGGGTCTTTGCTAGAACATGGCGGCATGGGTTGAGCCAGCTCTGGCTCTCATCCTGTCCCCCTTCTTTTCTCATACCACGAGGGACCTAGCAAACATGTGGGGACAGCCCAGCCTTCACGTCTAAGGCCCATCCACATGCCTACCAACCACCACTTCTTTGCCACACTTAGACCTGGGACTGTTCATGTTGGTGATGTTGCCCACCCTGGAAAGACTGGGCCCTAGAGGAAACTTTGTTCAGGCTCTGGAAGTGGGCGGGAGACTGTCTGGGCCAGGAATTCTGGATCTAAGAATCTAAGGCCTGATCTGGAGGGGAAGTGACCTCCGGGTATGCATGTCTTCCCAATCCCCAGACTCTTTGCCCCAGGACGGTGGGGCTAGAAGAAAGCCAAGGTGTGGTCTATAGTGCAACTCCAGGCAGGGCCCCCTCTCCTCTGGGTTCAAGGCTGTGTTCCTGACCCGAGCTGGCCCCTAAAGACAGGTGCTCACCCAGGGCTGTGCGTGGTGACCTCGCCTGAGTCTTGGGTTCTGTGGGCTCTCAGCATCTCTGGCCCAGGTGGTGGAGCTTCCTAAGGGCAAGGGGCAGGTTCTGAATTTTCTCCCTCCTCCCCCAGCCCTCAGCAGGGCTGAAGCCATGGACAGAGACAAGGTTTCTGCTGGAGCTATTTCTGTCTCCGGTGCCAGCTGTTGTCCCGAGAAGCTCTTTAGCAGGTCTGATTAAGTTCTTAAAGGGGCAAAGGAGGGAAAGAGGGATAAAGAGGGCTAAAGAGAGAGAAAGCAGGACAGAGGTGGGCCTGCCACACAGACGCCAGAGGTCATTGGCTTAGCCCACAGTATCCCCAGGACCTGACCCATAGCCAAGCCTCCACTGAGTCTGTGTTGTGACTGTCTGGGGAAGAATGTGATGGCCAAATGGGGTCCCATGACACCCAGAAGGCTCATCAGAACAGCAAGTGTAGTCTTCTCTGGGGACTTTGTACAATTTGGATTCGACTCCTCCCCATCCCCCAAATCTGGTTTAACCCCCCTCCCTCTGTGGCAAAGCCAGACTCCTCAGTGTGAGCTTCAGGTCCCCTCACACTCCTGCTCACGGCTGGGCCTTGGCAGCACCATGGTGACTCTGGAACCTTCCCAGGATGAATGCCAGCTTCCCATTCAGTCAACAGCACCTAAAACCTGCCTCCAATGCACGAACATTAATTGAATCCTTGTTTAAAACAATTAGGACTTGGGGCGCCTGGGGGGCTCAGTCGGTTAAGCATCTGCCTTTGGCTCAGGTCATAATCTTGGGGCTTGGGATGGAGCTGGGCTGGGCTGCCTGCTCCGCGGGGAGTCTGCTTCTCCCTTCGCCCCTCCCCCTGCATGATCTCTGTCCCTATCTCTGTCTCTCTCTCTCAAATAAATAATCTTTTAAAAATTAAACAAACAAACAAAAAAACCCAATTAGGACATTGGGGGAAATTGGAGTATGAACTTAGGTTAGGGAAGGAGTGTCGATCTTTTTAGGTATAAAAATAGTGTTATGGTTGTAGGGGGAAAAGGAACAAATAGCCCAACTTGGGAGGCCAGGTTGAAAGGTTAATGGCTGAAGTATCACAGTCAGCAATGTCTTCTGGCCAGTTCTTCAGAAAAATGTCGCATACACATGCACACACTCACTGAGAGGGCAAGTAGGGCAAAGTATTCACGGTGTTTTATGGGTGTTTAGGGCACTCCCCTTCCAACTCTCCTGCATCTCGGAGCATAGTCACAATTTAAAGCTTGGGGAGAAAACCTAACTCAGAACTCGCTTTCTGCAGGAAGCCTTCCCAACTCATTCTACCCGGTGGACCTGACTTGTTCTTCTGTGCCTCTGCCCACGGTTTCCGTCCACTTGTACAAAGCGCCGTGGCATTTCTGCACGGATGTCCTTGGGTGTGGAGGGAGCGAGCCTCGGCGGATGCTGGGCTGGCCTGCCTTCCGACACACCCCGCGCGGCCACACACAGGTGGGAGTGTGCAGGGGGCCGGCTGCCGTGCCGGGGCTCCCTCCGGGAGTTACTGAAAATAAAGAAGGGTGTTTTTCTTTTCTCTACCTGAGTTTGTAAACCTCAATGTCTTGTTCATTTATAAAGCCCTTATGTGGACATCTTTTCCTGATCTTCATAGTACGGGGAAGTAGGTACCTTATTACCCCAACTTATAGATAGGGAGACTGAGGCTTGGAGCAGTGCAGGTGGCTTGGACACAGGCAGCATCTGGCAGGGATAGAAAGGCGGAGGAATTGAACTTAGGTTTACTCTGCCAAAAGCTGTGCTCATCCCCCAACACCAGCCAGCCTTGGCTAAGCTGGGCATTGGCTGCGGGCAGGGTGGGCACACGCCTCACGGCGCTGTACTCCGGACTGCAGCCGCTCCCTTGCTCCACAGGCCCGTCCTAGCTTGTGTCCCTGTTGCCCCTCCTGATCGTGTGCTCCTGGAGGGATTAGGATTAGCCCTGCCACTAGATTTCATCATTTTACATGTTGATGGAGAGGCACATAGATTACTAGATCTTAAATTGATTTTTTAAAAATACATAAATAAAAAAATACATAAACATTTCAGTACAGCTGGTTTCTTTCCTAACTGAATTTTATGTGTTTAGAAACATTTTGCTGAGCATGTGTCCAAAGTTGTTAGAGACTTCCAAAGGGGTCTGTAGCATAAAAAATAAAGGACCCAGTGGTTTGGCACAAGCTTGACTCCAGCATTGTTCCCAGCCTTGCCCTAACCCTGGCTTCTGGTCATGGCACTGGGAGAGCTCTGCCCCCTGGATGGAGGGAAATTTCAGGTGGGCAGCCTCAGTTTACCCCCACCAGCAGGAACGCCCTCCCGTGCACTCTCTGCCTTTCGGCATCACTCGGCTCAGAGCTCCTTCATTCACTACCTTTCCTTACCCTTCCTTATCCCTTCCACCCCCAGACTCTCTGAGCTCTTCCTTCAGCCTGTTTTTGAACATCCCTGAGGATAACGTCTTTTCCATGGCTCCCTGGGAGACACTATCACCAGCTGTGGCTCGTTAGATACGCTAAAAAAACCATCCCCAAGCTCCAGGGCAAGAGGCGTCTGGTCCCAGGCAGTTAGCAGTCAGAGGGGAGTGGGGATGTCTCAGCGGAGGGAAAATCAGGGGTGTGTCCTCGAGTTAGAAGCAAGGCTCTGAGACCCCTACATCAGGCATGAGAGGAACCCCTGCCTCTGGGGAGTGCCAGGCCACTAGCCCTGTGGCCAGCCAGGGAGGGACGGTAGAGCCCTGGTCAGGAAGCTGTTGTCTCAGTACAAAGGGAGCCGTGCCCAGGCCACCCACTCTGAAGCAGGGCTCTAACAACTGACCTGGGGTGTATGCTGGCCAGAGCGAGGGCTGCCTCGGGTGTCCCCCAGGCCCATGGGCATGGAGTGGCAACTTCGCTGGACTGTCCCGAGCTGCCCCCTGCCTCAGAGACCAGGCAGCATGACTCTGCTGAAGCCAGACCCTCTTTCTGGGCAGAGGCCTCAAAACATGTGCAGAGAGTAAGCGCTCTGCTCTCTGACCTTCCTTCCAGTCCTGTTAGAACCAAGGCCCACTTCACAGATCACAAATTAACCTCACTTCTTTTCAGCATCGTAGAAAAACAACCGGGACTCCACCAGGCCAGCTGTGACTCGGCCCGAGCTGCTGACCTGTGGGCCTCCTTCCACCTGACGAACACCTGCTCCTCTTCAAGGCTCACTTCAAGGGTCGGCTCCCCTCTGCCTGCTCCTCACTGACGCCCTGAGGTGGAACTGGGTGCCTGCCGTGTGCGTGGCACGAGGGCCCAGCATATCGTGGCATCTGTAACGAATACATTTCTCACTTTCTTGGTTCTTTCCCTCTCTCCCCTGACAGCTATGAGCTCTGAGAGGGCAAGAGCTCTCTTTGCTGAATCTGCTGGCATGTAGTAGACATTTCATAGATGGTTCCTGAACGTATGAATGAATGAATGGCAGCCAGTCCTCCTCATTCTGAGGCAGAGGTGCAACCAGGAGGGGTCACGTGCTCGGGCCCAAATGACCATAGTCACTGTGGGGTGGGGAGGGGTGGCTGATCCCCAGGAAACTCTATGCTGACCCGATGGTCGCAGCTCAGACGTCTCTTCCCAAGCCCTATCCTCTCCCGGGAACGCACCCACACAGCTCTGTCAGGCCACCCCTCCGGGTGTGTCACCGGGGCTCCCAGCCTGAGGTCTACACACCACCCTCTTGTCTTGGGCACAGCTGTGTCCCAAGAGCCTGCTCTTAGTGGGTGCTTGAGTCACAATTCTGAAATCGATGGGAGAATCTCTGGTGGGTTTCACCTCTCCTCCCCCTACCCGGGGCCTCCCCACCAAAGCAGAAAAGAAAAGGCTGAGGCTTGCCGGTTCCAGAGCAGACGGACCTATGGCTTCCCGCAGGACAGGTCACAGCCCCGAGGATCCCGTGGAGTTCACCAACCCTTGTGGGACGGATGAGGACGGATGAGCCCTCCCCGAAACCATCTGGGCCCTGGGCTCAGACAGCTCAGGAGGCTGTCCCCAGCCCCCGCAGCCCCAAAGCCGACCCTCCCAGCTCCAGGCTCGGCCCAGCCTCTGCTCTAACGTCTGGAAGGTGTCAGGTGGGGTTGCTGCTTCCAGGGTTCGGGTGGGGAAGCCACAGTCTCCCGGGGAGACCACCTTCTTACCTGGCTTTCTGAGGCCAGCCTCTCCGGAGGTGAAGGGTCCAGCGGGGGTCCTGCCGTCTGCTTTCCAGCCTGAGAGAAGAGAACGTCCGGGGGAGGGAAGACTATGTCCTAGACCTCTCCCTCCTCCTTCTCATCGCTGTGGGCTGCTGCCTCCTGCTCTTCCCTCTCTGTGTCTCAGAAGTTGTAGGGAGAGAAAGCAACGCTGACCGGAGGAAGGATCCAGCCTGGGCTGGTGTTTGTGGAGTGTGTGCGTGTGTGTGTGTGTGTGTGTCCCAGGAGGCCGGAAGCACAGCTCCTCCTGAACCTCGGAGGCAGCGGCCCCGCCCCTGCTCTGCGGTTGCCATGGAGACCCACCTAAGCCTCTTTCACCTGGAGCTGTGGTATCTGTAGAGCGAGCCTGGCTGGCCTGACCCAGATGCCTGGGAAGACCCAGGTGGTGAAGAGCACCTGCGTCCCTGCCCCTGCCGTGCTTGGGGTGGGTGGGGGTAGGGTGGCACCCACAGGGGTGGGGCTGAGCTGCTGGGGGCATGATGGGGAGCCCATTGCGGTGCAGCTCCCCTCTTCCCGCCTGCTTCCCTCCCCCAGAAGAGGCGCGATTCCAGGTGCTGGGGGGCTCGCCTTTGCCTCCCTGCATCCTTACCTGTTTTCCTCTTTGCTGCTCGGACTTCTCTCTTTCCCTCAAGGCAAGCTCAAGGGCAGGAAGTTCTGCTGACTTTCTGGAGAAGGGGACGAGGCCCAGGAAGGAGTCCAGGGAGAAGAGGGAGCATGGATCTCGGACTGGCTGGGAGGCGTTTGAGTATCTTGCGGGGCTGGCGCGAGCCTTCTGTGGCTGTTCTCCGGGATCCCACACTGGCCTGTGGGCCTCCTCACTGGGCCGGATCCAGGGCCCCCTGAGGCCCAGCCTGCGCCCACCAGACGTGAGGGGCCGCTGGCACCGATGCCTGTCGCGCTGCCAGCGGCTCGGGCCCTCGGGTGCTGCGGCGCCGGCTGCCAGATGATGGGTGGACTGCTGGACACATCCAGCCCTGACGGTGTGCAAAATGAAGCAGAACGCACAGCCAAGGGGAGATTAAGCCACGACGACCTGGTCTGGCCTGTCCACCTGCCTGCTCGCATGTCGGGCTCTTCCTGGGAAGCTCGGCCACTGTGTGCTCGAGGGACGCTTGCTTCCGCCGGGTGACTCTGCCTTCCTCATCCGGCTTCTCAAGCAGGGCTCTTAAGTCAGGATCCGGCCGCTCCTTCTCTTGACCAGCTCATGGCGCAGAGAGCCGCTGGCCCTGGAGGATGCTACATTTTGGGGAGCTGAGCTCACGTCCTTTCACAGTTCCCACAGTTCCCATGTGGCCCCTGCCCCAGGGCCAGCTGAGGCCACAGCTACCCGAGGCTGGTGACCAGAAGTTCCCACCTCCACCTTGGCACATCCTCAAGGGCAGAAATTCTAAGGCATTTCTGTGCCAGACATGGGGGTATGGAGTAGCAGGACAAGAAGGCTCTGTCCTCCTTTTGGAGAAGGTACTAGAAGTGATTCAACGCGACCAAGTCACATACAGATTCATGCCACACAGGGGTCCAGAGCACTGTTTTGTGCGGGCACGCTGGTGGGAGGTGGCTGGGACTGGGAGATCCCGTTCCCCTCCCCCTCCAAGCGTCCCAGCGGAGCCTCTGGGAGGCGGATCAGAGGAGTAAGAGATGGAAATCTCGCTGGAGCACAGGGAGCAGGGACAGTATTAGGGTTCAGAGCTAAAGACTTCTGTCTTCCTACTGTACGACCTTGGGTCTATTACTGGCCATTCTGTTTGAATGAAAAAATTTATCCCTTTTCTAGGGCCATGCATTAGTCTTAACACCTCACCCTCACACACACACACACACACACACACACACACACACACACAATTAATGTAAATGAGGTCAATGTTGTCAGCCATCAAAAGGAAGATTTCATCGCAGCAAGCGGTGAGCTTCTGAACTCCTGAACTGTGGCTCTGGGGAACATGCACGAAGATGACAGAGGTTTTTGTGTCTTCCTTCCTGACACAGCTGGATCCTTTCCTGCCCTTTTCCATGATGCCAGGTGTAGCCCTGCCTGCAGCCTTGACGCCATAACTCAAAGAGGGCTTGGCGTTTGTGCTGACTGCTGATTGATTCTGATCTGTTAGCCTGCGGAGGCCTTGGGATTATCCGTGCTGAGTGTGACTTTGTACTAAAGAGAGAAGGTGGTGCTTGTTTTCTCTCTTTTGACATCAGAGGGAGTTGCTGAAGCGTAGTTAAATATCCAGCTGCCATTCAGAGGGAGAACACCAGTGGGGCTCATGACGTTGCCTCACAGACAGCACTTGGTTAATAAATTGGAGGTGTGGAATTATGAAGCTGTTGGGCACAAGGCTAGATTAGAAACCAAGGAGAGACTGGAGAAGGTCCCTGACCCCAGATGTCAGGCTGCTCCTCCGGCTCCCTTCTCCCTGGCTTCCTTCCAGACAGCGAGGACTGCTCCAAACCCTTTCTTTTTTTTTTTTTTTTGTTTTGTTTTGTTTTAAAGATTTTATTTATTTATTTGACAGAGAGAAAGAGAGACCACAAGTAGGCAGAGAAGCAGGCAGAGGGGGAGAGGGAAGCAGGCTCCCCGCTGAGCAAGGAGCCCAACATGGGACTCGATCCCAGGACCCTGGGATCATGACCTGAGCTGAAGGCAGAGGCTTAACTCACTGAGCCACCCAGGTGCTGCTCCAAACCATTTCTAACCACTCGGTCGTGCATTGGGTTTTCAGAGTCCTACAGAAGGTCTGTGTAGCCCAAATTCTGAATGAGATTGTATTAAGCTGACACAATATTCACAGATACAGATGACTTGCATTTACTCATACCTCTTCTCTCTGGGCAGCCCTCTCTCCACTCCTGTGGCCACATTTTCTTCTCCAAGTAAAGGCAGCACTGTATCTGATGACAGGAAAAATGAAAATGCTCATCTTCCTCCCAGCTGACTTGCTTAAGCCCCAGCTCCCTTTCTCTGTCCTTTTCCCTCCCTCCTCCCTCTAGACTCAAATGCATCAAACTAAAGGGAACTGAGGAGAGAGGCACAAAGCATTTCTCATTCATTCATTCTCAGAGTATTGACTGTCTACTCTGTGCTAGACCCATTTCCATAGAATTCACTTACTACCAACTTCTTTCAGATGCTGCCCTGTGTTTTGACAGACTGACCTGAAAGCCTTGGTGGCAGAAAAAGCTAGCTGTCCACCAAAGCTTCATGCTCCCTTCCCAAGTATAGACACGTTTCTGAGAAGCAGCTGTCCACACGGGGACTCCATTGCTCAGCCTCCCTGGCATCCAGGTAGCATCCAGGGACTACGGAATGTGGGTGGACGGGATGCAGGCCACTGTAAGGTCGGGCTTAGAATGTCTCTAATGTATGTTTTCACTTTCCATCTTTTCCCACTTGCTGATGGGCAGCAAGGACTCTGGTCCTGGAGCACAGTGGAGCCACAGTTTGGAAGGAGGCATGGTCTAAATTATGTGGAAGACCGTCCACCAGTCACCCCTGCTGAACTCTAATAGTGAAAGAAATGTGTGGGTCAAGCCATTTGGGGTTTCTCTGCCACAGCATTGACCCAACCCTAACTAGTGGAAAGCCCTGTGAGTAGGGATGGCTGTGGAAACCTTCGGCCCTTCCCTTGGTTCCTGGAGATCAAAGCTCTTCCTGACATGTTCCCTCCAAGATTTCCTATCCTCATCCCAGATAAATTAATCACCTCACTCCACATTGTCTCATGCCTTGTGCACAATGCACCCTCTGCCCCAAGGGCACTCCCACCTGGGGAAGTCTTACTTATCCCTCGAAATTTAGCTCCAGTGGTAAAACCCTAGAAAGTTCTCCTGTCTTCCCAGCTGCTCCCTCCTCTCCACTCCCTGAAGCTCCATTCTTAGTTCTGTACATATAGCTGACCTTCATTACTCACGGATTCCATATTGGCCAATTTTCCTACTCGCTAAAATCTGTTACCCCCAAATCAATGCTCACGACACTTTTGTGGTCATTCCGGACCTTTACAAAACATTGAAAAATTTGACTCGCCCGTCAAGCACATCCCCAGCTGACCCTTCACTTTCCTGTCTCAGCGCTCACACTGTGAACAAGTGTCTTTGTCACGGTCTGGTTAGTGCCACACTTTCCCCACCTGGTGCTTTTTGCTGGTGATTCTCCATCTGACACGGCCCCAAGCGCGGCGCTGGAATGCCACATGCTGGTCCCAAGCACAAGTGGGCCGTGAAGTGCCTTAAACAGAGAAAATACCCGAGCTTCGTCCAAGTCCGAGTTACAGCGCTCTTGGCCATGAGTTCAGTGTTCACGAGTCAACAATGTATAAAAATAACACTTCTTTAACCAGAAATACACACAAAATTAGGTTACGGATAGAACAGTTGGCACAAACGTCATGACCAGAGGCTTTTGGGAAACTCACCCTGTATTTCCCCCAGGAGCAATTGTTCAGTATTTGTTAATTCAATGTTTGCAGTGACTTTTAGGACATTACCTCAGCTCATGAGAATCGGCTGTGCCTGGCGCTGTTTCCTGAGCACGGGGTTCCGCATCCCCAGCGGAGGGACAGCTCCTCAAGGACAGGGAGCCCAAGCCCCAGCACTTGCCACATACGGGTTTGTCCTGCGTGGGTTGGAAGATGACAGCGAGAGCAGCCTGAGCCCGGTGTCTGTGCTAAGCGCATGTCCCAGACCTGCCCCTGAGTTCTCCCTGAACCTGAAAGTGCCCGGGGAGATGAACTGTCACGGCTCAAGGGCCTGCAGGCAACAGACAGAAGCCAGGCAAGGATGGCCTGTGAGGTGCTAAGTGCACACCGTGGGGGGTGGGGTGGCAGGTGGAGCCGGGGGCATCAGAGGGTGACCCTGGGGGGTCTGGGCAGGTTGCATCCAGTCTCGGGCAGCGTAGGCCTAGGAAAGCAGGGGAGCCCCTTCTGCTCAAGCTGGAAATGCTTCTGGGAGGAGGTCAAGTAATGGAAAACCAGTGGGAAGAGGGGGCCTGGTGTGTGGCAGTGCATCAGGGAGAGCAAAGCCCGAGGTGGCACACGCTAATGGGGGCCCTCTGGGTTGGCACCGGTGTGAGGGGATGCCCCGGGGTCTGGGAAGAATGACATGGGATAAGGTGTGACTGTGAGGGGGGATTACCACGCGGACCTGAACGTCGCATGTGCACCTTCATAGATTCTAGAATCAGTTCCCAAGGAAGAGCACCAGTGAGCCCCGAGCATGGGGGCAGTCTGGCGGTGAGGCGCTGGCCTCCCAGAGGCTGTTTGAACCGGGTGCGAAGAAGGAGGGGGAGGTCGGGTTGTCCGGGCACTCTGACTTGGGTGGTGGCGAGACGTGACATCCGCAGGGAAGCCGGGCTCAGCTCTGGCCGTGAGGACGTGGAGCGGACTGTGTGACTCCCGGCGGAGAGATCCACGGCCAGCTCCACGCCGCAGGAGAAAGGGTTTGGGGAAAGATACAGATGTGGGGGTGGTCAGGAGCGGGGTAAAGGGGTAGCTCTGGGCACAGGTGGACAGACTCAGATCACAAGAAAAGAGAGCCTGGGACAGACCCTCCAGCCCGGGAGGAACAGGCTGGGAAAGCACCAGGGAGCCGGGTGTCCCGCGCTTAGTTCAGCTGCATTCCCACCCAGGGCTGTGCAAAGGAACACAGGGGAATTAAGTAAGCACCTCCTGGTAATGCGTCTCCCCAATGTCCTGACATCATCCCAGGGCCCCGGCGAAACTCCGGGCCGTGTTATATAGGATGTGAGCACTTAGGAGAGGGAGTGGAGATAAGCGACACTAGCAGATATTTACAATGGGTCTGGAGAAGGACCCCCAGAGAG